GAAATAAAGCAAAAATTAATATAAAAAGGGGTTAACATAATGCTCGATTTTAAAGGTTAATTGTGTGAGATAAGAAAAATAATTATATTTTTTAATTTCATGGAATTTACCGTTAGCTTTTTGTGTTTATAGAAATTTGTAAAATCTTGCGGTTTCGGAAATATAAGGTGTCAAAAATTCAAATTTTACAAATTTCAAGAGGCGATAACTTGTGAGGGGGTGGAGATGGAAAAAAATTTTCTTCTAATGAAATGAACTATTTATTAATGTCTAAAAGCCCCTAAAATTTAAAGCTTCTACAAGCTGGGGTCTAGAAGAAAAACGACATCAAAAATTTGGAAAAAAAAGACCTTAGATAACGGTAAATTTGAACGGCCATTTTGTTTTTCTAAAGTTTAACTATAGTATACCGCGGTAGGGGAAGCAAGCCACTGCCTTTCTGCGTTAACAAAATTTCAAAAATGCTTATGGTTTCATTGCACCAAACAGTTAAAAAAGGCCATTTTTAGGGTTCCGGGGGGGTATAACTTCTAGAGGGGGGGAGATAGGTAAAAATTTTGTTCTACAAAAATAAGTTTCTAGTAAAGATCTATGTACGTATGAAATTTCAGCTTTCTATCTTTAAGAATGTAGAAGTTTTGTAAACAGACACACGGACAGACGGACGGACGGACGGACGGACGGACGGACGGACAGAGTGAAACTAATAAGCACTTTTTTTTCAAAAAATTTTTGGAAAAGTGCTAAAAATATTTATTTATCCCGAAAAAATTGTTAACCAATTAATTATATTAATATTAATGGATTGGTATTAATGGATATCAACATTTCCGTTTGCATGCATTTTTTTAAACTATTTAAAAATGCTATTGTTCGGATGTCCGGAAAATCAGGCTTTTGTGTAAACTGTCACAATAATATTAAGAATATACTAGACTAGACCGTTGGAAGCTACATTCCTTCACTTTATTTTGAATATGGCAAAAAGCTTTACGATTTCATGTCTAATTTCAAACTACTAGAAGAAAAGCGAAATCTGGAAAGTGAAGACGATTTAATGAGTGTTCTATGGCCTATTATAATTTTATAGTTCTAATGCCATAAGTATAACAACAACAGTTATTGCGCTGAGTACGTTCCAACCCAGTAATATTTTGAATCTTATTGAAATTAATCTATATTAATATATTTTCTATTAAAAATTTTTGTAATGAAATGAATAATGTATAAAATGAGTAAAAATGAAAATTTTAAAAGTTTAGCATAAAAATGTCAATGTAACCTTAAATTAATGTTAGTATTTTATACTTGTTAATTGTAAATATAGTAATATTTTATTTAACATTAATTAATTATATTGTTTGTTATTTACCTTTATTAGAATAATATTCACCTTTAAAACCACATACATTTATAAAATAGATTGTTTCAAACACTTAAACGATTCTTTTGATTAATTTTAATTAGTTAAGTACAAATTTATTTTTTACATTACACAATCAGTTAATTCAACATTTTTAAGTTAGACACTACATATTTTATTAATCACTTTAAAGAAAATAATAATTAACAACTTTTATACTTTCATAAGAATTTCATAGTTCTAGACTCTCATAGTTTCTTAAAGAATTTCATTTCCACATAGTCTCATATACAATTAATTATTAATTTTCCATCATGAAAAACTTTGTGTTAAACAATCACTTGTGCTAAGTACCAAATTACCCATATTGTTTACAAATTTATATAATTATAATGCATATATACATATACATATATATTTTTAAATTAAATTTAATTTTTCAAAAAAAATATATTTCCAACACCTTTTATTTCTCATATTGCTTATGTAAATTTGAAAAAATTTTAAAACATTTTACCAAAAATTTGTTATATACAAGTTCTAATTACATATACATATATATATAGTACATGTAAATAGAAAATAAGTTTTCTTTATCACATACATGTACTTTTTTTAAAAATATTAATTCATGTATTTTTTAATTAAATTAATAATGTGTACAATATAAAGTATTGCTAGTGAAAAAGTAGAAATTTTGCCTTAATAAATACATAAATAAAGATACACATGTAAATAAATAAGAGACAGAAAAACACATTTTTTGAATATAAGATTACGGTAGTCACGGAATAGCAAACAAGTGCCTGTATTCAATATTAAATTGCTTATTTGCTTTGTTTTGTCTTATATCAAATTATATTTATATTCAAAATATTGAAATTCATAATAATTTGTTGGTTGCATTTTTGTTAATATTAATTTTCTTCTATAAAACCGTGTTTGTATTTTTCATTTTCAAGCTTTTTCTAATTTATTTATTGGAAAAGAATTAATTATGTTGAATTTAATTAAAAAAAACAAATAAATAATTGAACAATTAATTAAACAAAAATATTTTATCTATATTATTAAGTTATTTATTTATTAAGCGTCTGAAATAAAATCTAGAAAGTTCATTTTTCGCAACTCTAAATAAAATTTAGAGTGGTCTGATTGATGATGTTTGAAATATAAATGTAGCTAGTATTATATAAATAATAAATACAGACGAATTTTTGGGGACGAAATTGAAGCTATATTTCAATTTTTTAAATTTTTTCTTACAATATCGCAACCAGAGTTGGAGCTCTTAAAAACGAGGCAAATAATGCACGAGGCAATAATGCAATAATTTCGATAAAAGTGGACTAGTTTGTAAAATATATAAAATAAGTAGGTTTGAAAATTACACCTAAAACTTTCAAAAAAGTCCTCAAACCGAATAATTGCAAAGGAAAATAACGAGCCGCGAAGCTAACGTTATCTCTGTTAATGAAAAAAAGGTTTTTAGTTTGGCTCGTTCAGACTGAAGCGAAATTACAAATCTTATACTTTAAACATTTAAGTGTATTTTTGGGTAATTTTTGTTTTTATAATTATGTATAACAGAAAATTATTTAATGTAAAAAAATTGTTCCTACTTTTAAATTTTAAAATTTTATACTATAATTTCTTTATTTAATTTACGTCACAAATTTCATAAAAAATTTTAATATCATCTTAAAATATGTTATGTGTTGTAACCTTCTATTAATAAATTTCATCATAAGTACATACAAGATGTCATCATTTTATTATAAAAATTTTTTTAGTGTTTTATTATAATCTTGGAAAATATAAATTCAAAGTAATAATGTGAAAAAAAAAATTAAAATGAAATCATTTTTATTGTTTAAATAATATAAAAGTATTAAAATTTATAACGCAATATTATGTAAGTATTAACCATACCATGTTATATGTATTATGTACCTATGTATGAATATTTATGCAAGATATAATTAATTGCATATATATATGAGTATATACATAAATACGAAAATAATATAATTTTTTTATTTCACAATTAGTCTTTTTTGATCATTTTTCAAAAAAAAAAACAAAATTTATACTTCATTTTCTTAATTTTTAATAATTCGCAATAAAAAAGTTCGATAAGGAAGTATATTATATAAAAAGGAATTATGTAAACAAATACATGTTTACAAATAAAATAAGGAAGAGTAGTACAGGTTATTATTTTTGATAAGCATTTTATTATTGTACTTAGTTTTTTTTTTAAATTTTAACAATATTCTTAAAAGATCTAACAAATTTTTTCTTTTATATATCAGTTTTTATTTTTTGTCTACATACCATTCATATACTCGTAACAGATAAGTTTAATCGATTTCTCAAAATTAAATTTCGTCTTTTTCTCTACAAAAATAATATTATGTATACCTAGTATGTACATATGTGACATTGAACTAATAAAATTTCGTTGATTAAAAGAAACGATTAAAAAACTGGCCCGAAAAATATTTTAACATACACAAGTATGTATACATATGTAATATATGTAGGTTTACATTATTGAATTTTTTATTTTAATTTGAAAATGAAATTTTGCAATTTACAACCCTGTGCATTCACAACACTTTCTTTCGCAAAATTATTTTGGAAATAGTGAAAGAACAACTCAAACTTAAACTAAATTCACATTTCCTGCTGTTAATATTTTGCTTGAAGTAAAATGTGTACAACGTACGTACGTATGTATATGTATGTATATTTTTAAGTGAGTATGTATATTGTAAAAACAATGTTATTTAAAAACAATTAACAGTTGATTTACTGGAAATTTTTAAAATTTGCCTTTTTTTTCTTGAAAAATATCCAACTTAAACGGTTAGTAATAAATGGTTTGAAATATAATTTAATATATACATACATACATATTATATTTTTGTAAATTAATGGAAGAAAAATAATAAAAAGATTTCATTGCAAGGCTAATGTATAAAATTTCATTCTCATTAAAAATTTTAATTTTTAAAATACTTTGTATGTCATTATTTTTAAGAACGGTTTATGATTTACTCATATTTATAATATTGTGACAATTATTGAAATATTTTATATCTGAGCCCTATATCTAATTATATTTTATACTCTTTTTTAGTGAGTTAATCAAGAAATTTGTAAATACATATTCTATTGCACCAAGACTCAAAAACTTAACGAACTACTGTAACAAAAACTAAAAAGTAAAAGTGGTTGGTGCAATGGTACCCTGTACTGGTAAACATAAGAATATTTTTTGAAATAATGCACGTTACATGTACTCACGTATCTACCGACTATAAAATTAAATTTCAAATTGTCACCTCTTATCAATTTCTATTATTTTTGTCATTTATTTCACATATCAATTTATTACAGTGACTCTACAACAAATTATCTGTGTATAACTAATTGCGAATTAAGGCAAAACATTATCATTAAAGAAATATTAAAAAGCAAAGTTTTAATTTTTAAATAAACTAAAAAAAAAAATTAATTAATAAATGTGACGTTATTATTTTTTTTTTTTTATTCAAAAAATGTGTTTGAAAGATCGAAAATATCAAATAAAAAAAAATAAAAATAAAATATTTAAAAAACAAAAACTTACGATTTTTCGATTGTATACTTTTCTCCTTGTTCATCACATTTTATTATTTGGCATTTTTCTGGAAGAACTAAATGTTCACCAGCTTTAACTTTTACATTTCTATGTTCTTTTACTTTACAATATTTAGCATTGTCATCTTCTAAAATTATTAATTATTAAAAAAATAGAATTAATTTTTGAGATTCGATTAAATAAATTTTAATTTTAAATATCAATAAAATTAATTATTTAATACCTTCAGCAATGCTTTTAGTGAAAGTCAATAAAAATAAATTTATTAAAATAAAAATCACAAAAGTTGACTTCATTATTGTAACGTTCTCCAAATAAAACTGATAAGATGATTGTGTTTTGATTTTTATTTCTTCAAAGCTTAGAGTGTAGCTTAACAAAAATATTCAAGAAAAAAAATACGATATTCTCAGTTTGCTTAACTTTAGTGATTATAAAATTAAAATCGCTCGGAGATCGTTTATAAAGGGAAACTTGTTTCTCTAAAAAAATAATTAAAAGCAAAATAATAATAAAAAAAATTAAATAAAATTAAAACAATAAGAAAAAAAGAGAGAAAAAAATATTGAATTATTTTTTAATATTTTTTTTTCTTTTTGTTTTAAAAGTGCCAATATTACATAAAAATTTATTTGAATATTTGTTGCTGTTGCTGTTGTTATTATTGTATGTACATAGAGATATGTATAAATATTATTTGTAGAATCATAAAATTTTTAAATGAAAAGTAAATAAAAACATGATTAAAGAGTAAATGAGATTTTCATTCATATGTATGTATGTCTACCAGATAGGTATATGTTAATCGAAAGATCGTATTTGAGAATTGTATAATAATGTAATTTTAATGAAATCGTGATTCGTGAGTAATATTGACGTTTACGTAATTTTAAGATTTTAGTGATGAGCTTACATGGAGGCGGTATGCGGATTTCAAAAACAAAATTGTCTCTCTTGACGCCAACTTCAGGTGAATTTCGAGTTCATATAAACGCTACTTGACTTAAAAACCGACTGCATATGCACATATATACGTGTATTGAAATGTAGTTTAAATGTAAACTTAAGTCGATTTCAAGTAATATTACTTCAATCTGTTCAGTATATATGTATGCAGATTGAAATTTCAAATCAAGTAATCGATGGCGGATCGAAGTATAATATGAATTAGTGTACACACACTTATGAAAATACCGCACAGTAACCGGCGAAGTTTGGACTAGAAATTTAATTTAATTGTTTTTAGCGTTTTATACAAATACCTATCTATTATTTGTTCATGGCAATAAAAATATTAAATGGCGCATTATAAAGTTTCGGTACAAACTGAGTGAATACCGGTAATTTTGTTTAACGTAAAACTGTATGTTGTATAGTATGATAATTTTAGATATGCATTATCTCTTAATAATTCTTACTTTCAGAATAAATTCATCTTATAATAACTTACATACATATGTTAAAAAAATTACAGCACAAAGATAAACTTCATATACTTATACAAATACGGACGAAATTAAATGTTTCAAATTACCCATATGTATGCGCAATATTTTAATTCCAGTTAAATGATAAAATTTGTTTTAAATCTGAATTTCGGGAATCAAGCGGAATGAGTTAATAGGTACTCATTGAAAGCGATGAAAAGTGAAATGTAATAAAGCCATAAAAATTATAAAGAGCAAATAACATTTGAGATTTGAAACAAGAGTTTGTCTGTTATTTTGAATGGTATTTTGTCTCCTGCATTTAGTTAAATAAACTAACCTACAAGTACGTACTTATGTAACTTTATGTATAACAGCATACCAAACACCAAAGAAGCTTCACTATTATGTAAATATTTTTGAGGTTATTTTTAATATTTTTTGATTAAATGTGTTTAGAATTTCGAAATTTAACATGACAAAGTGTTTGTGGTCAGGGAAATTTAAAATTTAAAGAATTTTAGGAATTTTTAATTAGTCAAATTATAAAACAAAATATATATTCTTATGTACATATGTAAATTTTTGAGAGTTTTTTGACTAGACATTTTATTTTCCGTATTTTGAAAGTATTGTAATAAATTTTATTTTTGATTTGTAGTAAAATGAAAAGTCCCAGAATATGTATATAACAAAATATTACTTATAATACTCCTATTAATACTTTATTCCGACGGTTCACTGATTTACGTATTGTAAACTTTGACCTTTCTCGCCCTTGTGGAGTTTATAGGGAAGCTGTATTTTTTATAAAACTGATTGATTTTGTCGGTTTTAACTGGTTTATTAAGAAAAAATAGTGTTGAAAAAATTTTGTGATAGCTCAATATTGTTGAATAGTAAAATAATCTTACAAAATTAATTAAAATTTATTATTGAAGTAAAAAATATATTGTTTATGTAGGAAACCTTGACATTATCCACATTATATTTATGTGCAATACTTAAAGATTTTTGAAAAATTGTGTTCAATCGTAAACTTTATTTTTAAAATTACAATAATCAATGGTGAACAATATTTAGTTCAATAATTTTCTAAAATTTCCACTTAAATTTAGATTTTCAAGATGAATCGAATTCATAAAATTTCTTAGAAAACAAATTCTTAAATTATTATAACCAAACATTTAGTGCAAATAAATCAACACAGCTGAAATTTGCTAATTCAAATTTTTCGAATAAAACAGAGATTAAAATATTCATTTTTGGAAAAGAATATTTTATCAGATAATCAACGTTTTTGTATTTTCTAAATTTGACCTCCACATATTAATTGTCGACTTAAAAAATTGAACTCATTAATTGTTTTATAATTTAAATATAAAAGAAAAATCTGCGTTTATATTTCATATTGCTTGAGCTGCTATTTTCAAATATTGACTTTTTTGTTTGTTAGCTATTAAAATTTCATTTGAAAGTCACATAGTTTTGACTTTGAAAAGAAATATTTAAAAAAAGAATAATATTTCCAGATTTTTTTATTTTAGCATTCGACAGTTATTTAAGAAATTAATTGGATATTAATGCAAATAATTAAAAATTATCGTACAATTTACCATATTATGTAATACCCATGCATTGACAGCACAGTAATATTTACAACCATTTTTAAAATATACATGCAGTTGATAGTACTCGTATAGATGTTGTAAATCTTATGTAAATAATTGTAAGTATTCACATTGCTAAGAATAGAAACTGAATCGTGTTTAATATGACCTCAGTCAAATTATTCATGAAATTTAATTATAATCGATGTCTAATTTGAAATATTTTAATTTCCGGTTATTATTTTTTACCGCAAATTATTGTCATTTTTTTATGATGCGTTGCATCTTCAAATTATCACTTATTGTATGCATATTAGGATGTACTTATTGGTATTCTTAAAATAGTAAATTTGATCATAAGAGAATTTGATAAAAGTGTGAAATAGTAAAATTTGTGTTAATGGAGCAAGTTTCTTCCTTTATTACTCATTATTATGTAGTTCTGTATAGTTATATTTTATAACTATACTAAACGTAATCTATTCAAAAATAGGAAATTAATTTGAACTAAAATTTTGTAAGTAATAATTGGTAGTAAATGAGTCTCATTCAATTTATTTCAATAACAAAACAGAAAACCTTATTAAAGGAAAATTTGTCTTAGTTTCTTAAATATATTGGGGTTTCCACATTCAAAATTCGTGTGGATCCTACTGTTGCAATACAAATCCACTGTGATTGCTAAGTTTAAAGTTTCTTATATATTAAAATGTTTCGAGATATACGCATTGTACAATGAATTTTATTTCTTATGTCTTACAAGAATGTTATACGAGAGTAGCACATAAGAACTTGTAGATAGTAACAACTACTGTACTCGTAAAATAATGTTTTTTCAAATAATATGAATTGAGCAAACGACGGACAAATTTTTATTCGTTAATACAAAATAAAATTTTAAAATGAATAGAGTTTGAATATATTTCATTTATGTATATAAGTTTTAATGAAAAGACCTTGAAAATGACATTTTACATTTTACACTCTTGTATTCATGCTATAAGTATGTATGTCGAGACAACAAAATATTCAGTACCCTAAAATTTAATGTTAAATTAATCAAGACTTAATCATTCGGAAAAATTTTTTTTATTTCTCCTTTTATAAAAATATTGCCAAAATAACTTTTTTTTTTAAAGAAAAAGAAAAACATTTTTTTTCTAAAGTAATGCTTTTGATGACAAAAATTTTTCAGGGGAACTTCAATTTACAGGCTAATAATATAATTGTATTGCATGAAAGAAAAGAATTAAAAATAAAATATTGTTTTTGCTCGCACAACTTTAACAATGATTTTTGTATTGAACAAGAAATAATGAAAATTTTCCTGAAACTTTGCTAGTACTTTCAGTTAGTTTTAATATTAATCTCCTTACAACTCTAGTCTTTGATACCGCACAACTTTAAAATCGCTTCTAAAATCTCAAAATGTTGCGTGAATATAAGAATTAAAATTTAATTGATGATTTCAATATGGTTTAATAATTTTTAATTTTCATTTCAAAGTAAGTTTTATTTGTTTTCAATGACAAAGCAACTTATCCCCCAATCTATTGAAATAACATTGATTGGTATTATAAACGCTATTCGTAAAGAGAAAATCAGCTTTAACTTTAAATTAATATTTATTATGTAAATTTTATAAAGGAAGCAGTAAACAATGATTTTCAGAGAGTGATTAAAAAAAACAAAAATTAAAAATAAAAAAGAAAAATTAGTAAAAAATTCAACAAGTGCGAAGTGACGTGACGATTGATCGTATAAATTGGCGTGCCATTTGTTTACGATCTTCAAAGAGAAACTTCTCAATTCAATTGAGTGTTTTATTTTTGTCAACAAGTAAAGTTTTGAGTACTTTTTTTAAGATTAATTAGACTCTAAAGCTATTAATAATGAAAATAAAAGAATATCAGGTTTTATTATTTTTGCTGACAGATTTAATTGATACTTATTAATCAATTGAATTAGCTGCTTTGTTAATTAATTTTGAATTGATTTTTTTCACGTATAATAATAACAAAAACTTCTGGTAGGTGTACAAAATAATTGAAAAAAAAATTCGAAAATAAAAATAATTGTATAAACTTTAAATTTATTTGCATAAGTATAAACACATGTAAGTATGGATATATGTTTGAATGTATGTACAGTGTACAATAACGTGTGAACACTTACTCATATTTTTTAATTAGAATAAATTATTTTAGTAAAAGAATATTTTTGATTGATTTTTTTCAAATTTTTTAAATTTTAGAATTTGTATGAATGACATCATAAATTATTGAAGCATTAGAGTAAACTAAAATGTCGCATAAATTGGAAAGTTTTTGATCTTAAAATTTCCTTCTCAGAAATGACATATAAAGCTAGGTTAACT